TCCTAGTCATGGAATTCACAGCATTGGTAACGGAATCAACAAGCTCCTGAATTTCAGCTTTGCTCCGAGGCCTGGTCTCCAGCTGCGCCTTTGCAAAGGCACATTTCCAGATGTCTCCTCGTTTTTCCACCAGACCGTTCTGCCAGGGAGAGTAGGCAGCCGAAGTATCACAGAATGTCCCATCCAATGACAGCCCATGCTCAAACTCGCCTTCAAACTCTTTTCCCCCATCACAGAACAGCCGAATGGGAGCGCCAGCCCAACGTTTCCATCCCTTTCTGTATGCATTCCTCACACACCTGGCCTGCATGCCCTTCCACAGTGGAATCACCATCTGAAATCCAGTCCCTTCATCCACAATGTTCAGAAAATGAAGCTTGCTGTCTCGAACCTGCGTCTCAAAAGTATCGACCGCAACTTGCTGATTGAACTCCGTGGCCCTACGCAGCTTCACCACCTTATGGCTCTTCGGTTTACTCAGCTCTTGGCAGGTTTCACAAGTCAACCCTTTTGCCAGTTTCAGAACCTTTTCGCTAGCATGCGCAGCACGAAGTAACATGTTCATGCGAGCAACTGAAGGATGACCAAGGTTCTCATGACACTTCTTCAGCATCACCATGATCCTTCTCTCGTCATCATCGGCCTCTCCTCTCAGGCTCTCAATCGTGTACACACAATGCGCAATGAACACCTCATCTCTCTGTCTCTGATATTCCAGCAGCCCAACAGCCACATCCTTCTCAAAGCACCGCGGGTCCTTGAGATCGTTGGCATTTAGCCAATCCTTCTTGCACCTTTTCCCGATCTGACTGCAGTTGGTGTACATTCTCCGCACATCATCACCGCTCTCACGCTCCACTCGGACGGTCTGCGCATCTTCGCTCACTCTCTTCCACGTCTTCACTCTCTCGCTCACAGACTCGTTGACCTCTTCAACACAGAACAGCCTGCCTTCACACATCTGCTCGGCACAACATGTAGTCACAAGTCTCGTAAAAGCAGCACGATGTCGCCCTGTGTAAGTCCTACACATGTGAATGCCACCTGTTGCCTTAGTCATGTGAGCTGGCGTCCGAATCACAAGCAACCGAGGCTTCAGTCTACGAATCTTCTCCAGCGCCACTTGTTGTTTGTCCATGCTTCGAACGTCTGACGCACACATTTCCGGAAAAATCTCGGCACATTGAAAGCCTACTGCCGTGAAGACCTGTACAGCCGCAGCATCATGTTCCAGAAAGAGCACGTCAATGCCAGCGACATCTGGCTCGACTTGTTCCCTCTCCATTCTGCAGCTGTCTAGTCCACGCCTACACAGTTTCCTTTCGGCCTTTGTCATACATCCTGCCGGCTCATGCTCTGCATTCACAAGGCCAACTGTTCCTCCAGCTCCTCCAGCTCCGAGGTCATGGCTTCGATGCGTTGACGCAGTAGAGCTCGACGCTGCATGATCATCGGGTCCTCCACCGAAGCTGACGCCATGGACCACTCCCCGTCGTCCACTGTGCTCACAGCATCTGTCGTGGCAAGTGACATCGTCGTCGCCGCTGCCTTGGCTTTGGCCTTGACCTTTGGCCGGCTCGCCATCACCATTGGCACCTGCGGCGTCATCGGTCCTTGGCTCACTGGTTGTCCCCGCCATTCTGTGGATGCCCTCGTTGACGATGCTGCGCCCTTCACACGTCTTGACTTCATCTGATCGCGAAGCTCTATGTACAATCTGAACATGGCCATCGTCGGGTGGGAGTCGCTCTTGCCGCTGCTCTTCGTCTCCTTGTCCTTGATGAACTTCCGCACCCAAGCCACATACTTTTTGTCCTCCACGTAGCACCGCGAAAACGTCATCGCAACCCTCATCTTCTCGTACTTGCCCACGTTGAACACCGTCTCGCCGCTGAGCCCGCTGACGAGCCCTTCGGGCGCGTCTTCTTCGTGATCGGAGCAAGCGTCGAGGGTCGCCGCTCCCAGCATCTCCTGAGATGACCCCTGTAGCTGGGGTGCCACATCGTTCAGCAGCCGCTCGACCAGAGGCGTCCGATTCACAAGTTCGGACACCATCGGCGTGTCCATTGGCTGGGACATGTAGCTCATGCTGGCCAACGATGATCGATGGGCTTTCTACAGGATCGCTGGCTTGAACACTGGAGCGCTCCACGGCCATCGACTCATGCGTCTTTGCTTGCACATTCGAAACCTTGCTCTTCGTGAAGCCATCAAACAGTGGAAGTGCATAGTGCCCCCTCTCGGTCTCTTTCAGTTGTATCGTAACCCCGTACCGACCAACCACCAAACAATCCCTTTCCATATCAAGCTTAGCCCGTAAGCTTCTAAGAAGTTCCTTTGATAGAAGCAGTGGTGTCTGTGCACCGGAACCTGGCAACACTGCTGCCCTAATGGCCAAATGGTTGCCTGCCAACGAAATTGGAATCAAGGCAGTCCTCGTGGTATGCAAAACCCCCGCATTACCGAACCTAAACTCATGACGTTCAGCAACTTCACGAATCCTCAGCCCTGACTCAGCTAGCACTTTGGACATCCTACCTAGCACAGACTCACCTATCAGAGTCCTCCTGCAAGCAGTGTCCGGAACCCCATGGCACGCAAGATCCGCCATATATGCATCACTCGGCTTGGCGTCTGATACGTGCGCCTCAGAAAAAAACTGTAGCAACCCTTGCTCAAAGTCCCCTCTCACTTGTCCACTATCATCAAGGCTATGAACTGTCGGTGCCACGACCACGTCCACCTGGTCACCTCGCTCCGCCAGGAAGACCTCAAGCTGGCTGATCTTCTCCTCATCGATGAACAGCTCCTCGCCAATCTCGCGCCACTCACCGTCATCTGCCACCATCGCATCGTTCCCGGCACTGTTCGAAGACTTGCGCTTAGGGCACTCCTTCTTCCAATGCCCTCTCTCATGACAGTGATGACACTTTGTCTTGGCTTTCAACTGCTCAATCTTGCCCTTCACGGTGCCAGTGAGTGTCCAACCCGGCTTCGGCGGCCCATAGCTTTTATAGCCGCGCCCTGTCTTGCGCTGTTGCATCTGCTTTCTCACTTCCTTGTAAGTCTCGAACACATCCAGCGCGTCCTCGTCCTCATAGTCGGCGCCGCTCTGCACTTGGTCCGCCACGGCCTGGTACACCTCGTACACGTCTTCGTCCTCCTCGGTGATTTCAGCAGACTGGCCGTCCTCTGGGACAGCTTCGTACACTTCCTTCACCCGACTGGAGGCACCTGACTTGGCAACACCCTGGGGGAAGATAGCCTGCACGGCGGTGCTGATGTCACTGTACTTCAAGGATCCCTTGGTATGTGTCAATACCATCGCCTCGGCATTGCCTTCCAAGTTCAACTTTCTCAGCAGAAACCACCCCTTCACCTCTTCGGGCAATTCCACTGAGTGCTCTTGCAGGCGCCGATAGCTTGTCTCCAACCGTACAGTCAAGTTCCTGTATGTCTCTCCAGCCTTGATGCTCGTGCCGTAGAAGTACTCCTGGAGATGCTTATGCAAGGCGTCTTTGTCCAACTCCTTATACTTGCTGTCCAGGGCCGCTAGCACAAGGTCGTGCCCGCCTTCCTTGATCAGCTTCTCTATGGGGATGGACTCTACCACCTCCTCTGCCTCTCCAGCCAGGAACTCCATCATCTTCGCTCCCCACTTCTCCTTCTTGTAGGTCTCCGGGAGCGCCATCAGCATCAACAGTGCCTTCCTTCGCCATTTCCTGTACAAGGATGGCTGCGAGCCATCGAACTTCTCAAGGCGCTGCCACTCGTCCTTGGCCGAGCTCGCCGCCATCACCCTTGAACTCGTTCACGGAGATCGTGCGCTGCTGGCCGCTCCCTCTAGGGATGGCCTTTCCAGCGCTCCGCTACCACCTGAAGACTTCGGAGCTCCAGGTGATCACAGCACACTCTGTTTTCCATTCAAAGGCTCCAGCTCTAAGCTGCCTTGAACTAAGGGGACCTTCGAGTGATCACAGCCGCATTCGTGACTGCACTCATGCCACCCCAATCGTTATCAGACTGGACATGTGATTTCTTTACAGCTCACTGAGATTTGCAAGAAGATTTCTCAGGGTTCCTTATTGTAGTTCTAGTATAACATACCCCAAAACCCTATTCTAACTACCCAGGTCCCTACTACTATACGCTTATAGTAACCCTTCAAAGCCTCTTTAAGGAGCCCTTTAAAGGGAGCCCTCTTCTTTATTTATTAAGGCCCCTACATTATCCAGCTTTGTGAGCGTGTTTTGGCCGAGAGGCGTCTCCTCCGTCAAGACTTTGCCAACGGAATCCCTCAGGGGCTGGGCTGGCAAAACATCACGAAACACGGAGACTCATACATATCCGCTTAATTGAGGAATATACCTTCGATTATAGTAGGATCCCGAATATGATTTAAGGAATTCGGAATATACCTTAAATTTTTGTAGGATCCCTAATGTGATTTAAGAAATATTCCTTAATTCAGGGATATTGGAGTCTCTGGGAACCTGTGCTTCAGCGGTCCACTCGCTCCCCTTTGGACGAATGACTTGACTGGACGGCGGAACTTTTTGCTGTTTCAGGGCGACATTGAACAAAGCTACCTTGAGCACAGCGCCTAAGCCCTTCTTGGGTTTTGGAAGTCTGGCTTCATTGTTGTGCCAAGCTGCTCGAAGATGAGATGCACCACCTGTCCGTGCATGAATCTCGAGAACCTTGACCCTCACACTATCCATGCGAGCTCCTGTGAATAGTCTAGGTCCCTGAGTAGCTCATTTATGATAAGGGTACCCTTTTCCTACAATTCGGTTTTCAGAAGGGGACCCTAAAACAAAAAGGGGCAGGTTCTACATCCTGCTCCGGGGCAAACTACACCCTAAAAGATTCACGGGACCCAGAGACTCCAATATCCCTTTAGTTTGGGAATAGACCTTCAAATATAGTAGGAGCCCGAATATGATTTAAGGAATATTCCTCAATTAAGGGATATTGGAGTCTTCCACCCACAACTGCTTTCATGACCAAGGAAGCCACGCCTTCACGGCTGCGTCGTCCTGCTCATGTGTATACAGACTCAAGCAGTGTTGAATGCCGATTGGTGTCAATTTATGGTTTGAGGCTTGGGGCTTGCAAAGGACCAACACACAGAAATGAAGTGAGCCATTGAAGCCTCTCGCCTAAACCCTAAACCTCGCCGAGCCCCTGCGAGCCCTTGTGGAGATGTTCGCCTTCGCACTTACGGCTTTGGCCGGTTCGGGATTCCAAGCAAAGAGCTGGCGTTGTTCAATTATCTGTCTGGTTCTTAGTAGGGAATGGGGGAATGGGTTATGGGGACTATTATTCTTGTTGATTAGAGAGGGACTACTACAGGGATCCATTCCCCCAGTCCCTACTAAGCACCATGGAGTTTTGGTAGAGAGGGTCTTGGCGGGGTGTATTTGCAGGGTCCAGGCAGCATGGTTCCACCCGGACATAGAGGACTGGAAGAGCAGAATCCAGGGTTTAGGGTTTAGGGTTTACTGTAAGGTTTAGGCTGTGTAGGTCAGGCAACCGACGTCTGGGAGTCTGCAATCTACTGGCTCTGTCTTAGCAGGGCTGAGGAATCCTAGGCCACAAACCCCACATGTCTCTAGGGCCCTGGAGCTCAGGGAATCTTATCCTTATTTTGATGCATTTGCACTTGCCGTGCACTTCACATGCCGCAGCTGCAACAGCATCATCCGCCAATGAGACATGATCGTTCGAGAAACGACCCATATCCTGAAGCTCTAACATCCTAAAGCGTTCACCTCAGCGGCAGGAAGCTTACTGTTTTGATGGGGCCCTTGCACTCACAGCTCGAACACAGAGATGGAAAGACCTTATCTCCACGCCCGGATCCGTCGACCAGGCATCATAATCTGAGACCCCGAAACTTGCCCCAAACCCAAGCCCCTAAACCCTGAACACCAAACCCCGAAGCCTTTGCCTAATCCTCTCAAGCCCAGAAACCCTGCGCGTGTCCTCGTAGATGAGGAGCCGTTTCTTAGCCCTGGTTACAGCAACATAGAGCCTGCAGGCCATGCAATGCTGCCAGGGGTTGAGGGTGCAGGGTCTGGCTTCTTCCTATGTGCATATGCTGGTTTCATAGGGGGTTCGAAGCCCAACCTGAGTTACGACTCCGCAGAAGGCATCAGATTCACCAAATCTCCCTCTTAGGGTCCACTGGTTTGATTTGCTTAACAAGAAGCCAGAGTGCGGCTTCCAGGCATGATGTGGTGAGTGCTGAAGGGGTTGGCTGTTTTGGTGTTGTTAAACTACCGGCCGGCATATGTCCAAGGTTAGAATTCGTAGCAGAAGCGTACGTAGCAGAAGTAGCAGAAGTAGCAGAAGTAGCAGAGGTGGCAGAAGTAGCAGTTGTCGTCGGTGGTGGTAGTAGTAGTAGTACCAGCAGGAGTAGCAATAGTAGCAGTAGTAGTAGTAGTAGTAGTAGTAGGCGTAGCAGTAGCAGTGGCAGTGGCAGTAGCAGTGGCAGTACAAAGTAGCCGGAGCAGCAGCAGCAGCAGGAGGAGGAGGAGTAGTAGTCGTCGTCTTAGTAGTAGTAGTAATAGTAGTAGTAGTAGTAGTAGTAGTAGTAGTAGTAGTAGTAGTAGTAGTAGTAGCAGTAGCAGTAGCAGTAGCAGTAGCAGTAGCAGTAGCAGTAGCAGTAGCAGTAGCAGTAGCAGTCGCAGTCGCAGTGGCAGTGAAAGTAGGAGTAGGAGTAGGAGTAGTAGTAGTAGTAGTAGTAGTAGCAGTAGTAATAGTAGTAGTAGTAGTAGTAGTCGTAGCGGTACTAGCGGTACTAGCAGTACTAGCAGTACTAGCAGTACTAGCAGTACTAGCAGTACTAGCAGTAGGGGTTGTTGCTGTTGTCGTAGCAGCCGGAGCAGTAGGAGCAGCCACCAGCAGCAGCAGCAGCAGCAGAGCATGAAGATCTGTAGTTTAATGTTTCCCAGCATCTCACACAACTTTCCTGGCAGCTCTCGCAACCTAAATCCAAATTTTGAAACCCAAAGCCCGAGGCCCCCGAAGTATGAAGCGCTAAACATCCCTAAACCCCATTCTTTCGACTCCAAACCCTCAGTTGGGCAGCCCGCGCCTCTTCAGCTCCAAGCAAGCGATGGCCTTTTCCGCATTCGCAGAGCCTTCCTTCGAAAAGTTGGTGTGCGACTGCAGAAGCTGCGTCCAGTGCCCGTACGCCGAATCCTCGGTGCGCTGGTGCTTTGGAGCTTTGGGTGTGGGGGTTTACGGCCATGTAGGGTTTAGGGTTTAAGGGTTCGAGGTTAGGATTTGGGGTTTCAGGCGTGAGGCTGGGGAAGACCGACGCAGCCTAATATAGGAACCTGATTAAGCAACCCTGGGCCTATGACCCCAAAATAGTACTATTCATAAAAGGAGCCCTGATAAAGGCCCAAGGTTTCTTAATCAGGTTCCTACATTAGGGTAGTTTAGGAACCCTAAACCCTAAACCGGGGTCGGCATAAGGACATAATGGGCTACTTGGAGGTTCAGGGGTAGTTATAAGCAGGGTTATAAGTCCCCTAATATGGGCTATAGGTATAGTTACCCTACTTATAACCCTACTTATAAGTACCTATGAACCTCCAAGTAGTGCTGAAGCTGGAGTGCAGGCTGAAGACCCAGGCGCGGAAGCCTAGCTCTGGGTTATGCGGAGTTCATATCCCAGGGGTCTTCTTGGAGGTTTTGGGGTTCTAGGGTCTTAGGGTCGTAGGGTCCAAGGGTCTTAGAATCTAGGGTTTAGGGTTTTAGGGTTTTGGGGTTTTAGGGTCGTACTTGGAGGCTCATGGGTACTTCTAAGTAGGGTTATAAGTAGGGTTCCTTTACAAGGGTTCTGTAGGGTTATAGGGTTTAGGGATTAGGGTAGTTATAAGCAGGGTTATAAGTAGGGTAACTGTACTTGTAACCCATAGTAGGGGACATATAACCCTACTTATAACGACCCTTGAACCTCCAAGTTCAGATTTAGTGTTTGGGGGGGGGGGGGGTCTAGGTAACGTAGACACCCGGTCTTTGTTGACACAACTCCCTCAGCAAGGTTTGCAACAAGGAATTTGGCGCTAGGGCCCTCAGCAATGGAGTCTACCCGTCTACCTTAGCAGGGCTTATATATGCTAGAAACACGAAATCTCCCCCAGCTCAGCTCAAAGCTTGTTCGAAGATGCGGCGGGGCTGCAAACAGGGCTTGAGATAAACGTGCTCCGGTTGATGATACAAATCCTGCATGACCCATAATAAGGAATATACCATAATTCCCATAGTGTAGGGTCCTTAAGGTAATGCAGGATTTACATCATCCACCGTCCTTCGAGCTTTTGGGCCTTCGACCCGAACCCCTGCACCTGAAACGCATCGCAGGAACCGTAAACGCCACACCCTAGACTGGCCGAACCGAGCAGCTTTGATGAAGTTGTACATCAGGACGTCGGTGAACTCAAGACCTGCATTTGAACAGTAATTAATTGAGGTTGAAATCCTGAATGCAACAGGGAGCGAGGAGAGTAAACCAAAAGACAGACACTGAGAGAGAGAGAGAGAGAGAGAGAGAGAGAGAGAGAGAGAGAGAGCGAGCGAGAGAGCGAGAGAGAGAAAGAGAAGGCAAGCAAAAGAAGCACGTAAACGCCTCAGCGGCCAAAAGGAGGGTGCACAAATGAATCCATAGCCTGTCATACATGTTCCTAAAGTCTCCCACTTCATTGACATGGCACCCTTCGCAGCGATCTCGTCCATCATCGTTCCCAGACTCTCTGCCGTCATGACGATGCCGGCATCCCTTCCGGATGTACATTCAGCAGCCACCTCCCGAAAGCTCCGATGGCTTGGGCTTGCGCGATTTCCAGGTTTCGGCCTTCGATGCTTGGGGGACTTGGGGCCTTCTGTGCTTTGCTTTCTTATAGGATCCTTAAGGGGGGGTGGTTCAAGGGGGGAGGGTACTAGGGAGCTTTGGGGAACCTTAGGGAAGCTTAGGGAGTATTGGGGAATAATGGGGATTACTAGGTTACCTACCCCCCTTGGACCACCCCCCCTTAAGGACATCCTAACTTTCGGGCGCCGAAGAGCTTCAGCAATTGTTCCGGAGAAGGTGGACAATGTTGTGATCTGGACCCGAGCCTGTTTTCAAATGTAGGAACCTGATTAAGAAACCTTGGGCCTTTACTAGGGTTCCTAACATGAATGCTACTATGTTGGGCAAAACAGCCCGGGTTTTCTTTATCAGGTTCCTACAGTACACCCAGAATCCCAGAAAGCTAGGAAGCATTCTCACGTGCTGTTTCGCCCTTCAGCCTCAAGAAAAGTAAATGCCCTGGATCCTGCATGCTTCGAAACCGAAAAGCTCAACGTTAAAGGCCCCGCTAATCCATTGCGCACCAACTACCGGAATCTGCTGAAGCTGAAACCCCAACCCATAAACGGGCTTACAGTAAGAGTCTATAATGGGGCTACTATTAAGGTCCTAATATATCTATATTATGAGTATTCGTCAACTATTAGTGAGTGGGGGCCGTACCCAACGCAATCACCTGCCTTCAGAAACTGGTCTTTCTGGTCCTCGCTACGAACGATCACCTCACAGAGGCCGGTTGGGGTTTAGGGTTTAGGGTTTAGGGTTTTGGGGTTTTGGGGTTTTAGGGTTTAGGGTTTAGGGTTTAGGGTTTAGGGTTTAGGGTTTTGGGGTTTTGGGGTTTTGGGGTTTTAGGGTTTAGGGTTTAGGGTTTAGGGTTTAGGGTTTAGGGTTTAGGGTTTTGGGGTTTTAGGGTTTAGGGTTTAGGGTTTAGGGTTTAGGGTTTAGGGTTTTGGGGTTTTGGGGTTTGGGGTTTTGGCTTTTGGGTTTAGGGTCTAGCCAGCCGTCTACTAGGGCACGCTCTCAGACAAGGTCCGGTGAATCTAGCAAGATACGGAAGATGCTACAATACTTAGGGCATGCAGACTGCAGCCCTAACCGGAAACTTGGTGGAAGCAACGGCAAACCCTGACCTCAAACACGAATGACCAAACCCTCTAACCTAAACAACCCCAGCCCGAAACCGCACTTTGCAGATCCTGAAGTTCAACTCCACCCCACCCGACCCCTAAACCCTAATCTCTAAACTATAAACCCCCCCCCCCCCCCCCCCCCCCCCCCCCCCCCCCCAGGATGCCAGGTGACAAGCTGGTTGGCACCCAGCAAACACTTCGACGCAGAGCTCCGGCTCGAGTCCAGCTCGCGGAGGAGTCTCGACAGCTCCTTACTTGGAGGTTCAGGGGTAGTTATAAGTAGGGTTATAAGTCCCCCAATATGGGTTATAAGTATAGTTACCCTACTTATAACCCTACTTATAACTACCCATGAACCTCCAAGTAGGGTTGAGGGCATTGTTGAAAGGGTTTCGGGTTTCACGGTTTAGGACTCCGGCGTGGGAGTTCAGGGTTTTAGGGGTTCAGGGGCTCTGACTAACATGACCCTGGTGTTGCAGACAAGAAGCAGATCTTAAGAGGTGCAGAGCTCAGCTCTTTTTTAAATCCCAACACCCACAAATTGCTTCGAGCCGGGCTTCGGGGTCTACTGCTTGGGACATAACGTAAACCCACCCAAATCCGAAAGCCTGCAGGTGCTGGCAAAAGGGCATCGAAGTTGAGGCATTCGGGAGGTGGACCAGCACTCTGGCCCATCCTGGGTTGATTTACTGCTTTCGACTTCCTGCTTTCCCGGCTGGCGTCCGAGTTGCAAGGTCCTTGAACACGTTTCACTGACGTACGTATGGGCGCGGCTCCTAGATGCTGTACATATTCAGGATGCTTTTGCACTGCCTCGTGCACTGACGAGGATGGTGTGTTCGGAGGTGCTGGTGGCATAAAGCATGCACGGATTCGGACTTGCGTTGGATTTTGGGTTTGGTGGCTTAGGATTGTAAAGGTTGAGGCCCCAGAATCGTCGTCTGCAAACCCTAAACCCTATAGCCCGAAAACAGGCCGCGTGGTCTGGGCACTTTTCAATGAAGGCTTTGCTTTGAGTTTCGAGGCTGCCTGACGTGTTGCTCGGGGCGATTCAGATTGAAACCATAATAAAGGGGCCTTAATAATTAGAATAGGGTCTGTGGGTATAGGCACCCCAAAAACCCTATTCTAATTAGTAAGGCCCCTACATTAGCCAGCTCCATGGTCAACTCGTTGTCGAATTCCTAATGCTTCTTTGGAGACAAGTGAGCGGTACCCCGGGTAATCTATAGTAAGGTCTCCAAGTTAGCCTCTTTGTAGATAACTTCACCTCAGAAGGAGCACGAAGTTTGGATTAGGAGCCCCCGAAACCCTATTCTAATTATTAAGGCCCCCATATTATATCACCCTTATACAGCCCTTATAGAGCCCTTATAGTATCCCTTATAGACCCCTTTAAAGGAAGCCTATTCTAAATTATTGAGGCCCCTACAGTTCTGGGAGACGGTCGGCACCCGGACCAAAGCCAAGTCCAAGAAGCGCAGCAGGGAGCTTGTCGATAGTCATCGGGAAGAGCCTGGCAGCGTGCTGCTCTAGGACTATTGGGTCCTATATGAGGGGCCTTAATAATTAGAATAAGGCTTTGGGGGCCCATTATACTATGATGAAAATAAGGAACCCCAAAATGGTATTGGTTAAAAGTTAGGCCCCTGTGTTAGTCCCTGACCCCTGCCCAATTTTCGGACCCTCGACCTATGGGTTATAAGCATAGTTACCCTACTTATAAACTTACAACTACCCTAAACCCTATAATCCTATACCCTAAACCCTATAATCCCCTTAAAACGGAGCCCTACTTATAACTACCCAATGAACCTCCAAGTACTGCCTGCATCCTAGACGGAGAGCTTCCCCGGCTTTAGGGTTTAGGGGTTTAGGCTTTAGGGGTTTAGGGTTTAGGGATTTAGGGTTTAGGGTTTAGAGTTTAGGGTTTAGTCTTTCTGGTCACAACCACAATGAGCTAGCGAGCCTGCTCTTGCAGAATTTACAAAGAAACCAGCTGCCCCTAAACTCCAGGTAAGCCCTGGACCTTACATGACAGAGGTTCGGGGCCCAGCCGCGTGCAGCTTTCAGGGTTGAGGTTTGGTAGCAACTTCATCCGAGGCTTGTTCATGAGTTCTGCGTGCTGCAATGCTACACCCGAGACAGAGCCTTCATCCACAAATGGCCCCAGGTCTTTGGCTTACCGACCCTGAACTTTAAATTGCAAACACTCTAAACCTTTGAACCTTGAGTTTTAAACCTTACACCCTACAGGAAGCTCCAACCCGTGAACCCGTTAACCCTTGTCCAGCAGGCTTCGGCACTTCAAGGATCATGGCACTTAGCAACTAAGGATATAATTAGGGCAAGTGTACTTATAACTGCTTATAACCCCAATTAAGGTACTTCTAACCATACGTACTAAGTCCCGTGATCCTCCAAGTAGGCTCTTAAGCTGAGGCTCTCTTCCAGCAGGCTGACGACGCGGTTGCTGGCCTGCACAAGGCAGCGGCTGCAATGATTAGCGGCAGAGGGTTTAGGGTTTACGGCGGAATCTATGACGCGCAAGTTAGGAATAAGGGGCTTGGGGTTTTAAACTCTAGTCCCTCAGACTGGAAGCCCGACGTCCCTAATGCGATGTCTTCATATCTGCCGTCTGCAGGTCTCGCTATGTGCCTTTCCTAGGCTACTCTAGAGCACTCTGCCACATACTTGCCACCAGAATCACCACACCAAGCTTAGCAGAACCGGGATAAGAGAAAGGAATAACATATTCAGGAACGGCCTGCACGATGCCATCATGCGATCGATAGTTCACCAGGAGCGACCAGAGGTCCTTCACCACCTCCGGGCTGGAGGTCGGATAGAATATCTCCTGCCGCAGCTCAGCGGGTGAAGCGGCAGGGCAAAGCCCTAAACCCTAAACCTCGGAGCTACAAAGCCCTAAACCCCTAAACCTCTAAACCCCCAAACCCCTAAACCCTAAACCCCGAAACCCTAAGCCCTAAGCCCCTAAACCCCTAAACCCCGAAACCCTAAACCCTAAACCCCCAAACCCCTAAACCCTAAACCCCGAAACCCTAAGCCCTAAACCCCTAAACCCCTAAACCCTAAACCCCGAAACCCCAAACCCTGAACCCTCAACTTCGGGGTGGAGCTGCGAACCTCATCTTCGGCCTTTCCGGCTCTGGAGGGTTCCTTGCGGTTGATGATATAAATCTGCATTTCCCATAATAAGGAATATACCATAACTGCCAAAGTCTAGGGTCATTAAGGTAATGCAGAATTTGTATCATCCACCTTAATTCTGACATTGTCGCCTCAGAGGGATATTACCGGAGAGGCTGCTCTATTCAAGGTTGGAGTTTAGGCTTTAGGACATTTAGGGGGCTTAATAAGTAGAATAAGGGTATTCTAGTATAATTGTTCAGGAACCCCTCAATTTGTATTGGTACTTATCAGGGCCCCTATAGTTCGGGGTCTGGGTTCGGTCTTCACAGGCATGAAGGAGCAGACACACAGATCGAAGCAGAACGCCGACTGGTCCTTGACGCAGGACCGCAAGTCTTTGAAGCGAAAGTCTGTCTCGCTCGAAACTGTCTGGCAAGTGTCGCCGACAAAGACGATGGCCTGCCGAGAGGGCGTGGGAGGGAGGGAGGTGTGAGGGAAGGCAAAAGTCGGTCAACGCCGACAGAACCCAAATCCTTGATTCCTCAGCCAAGCTAGGCTTGCTGCCCCCGTTAAGCCGACAGCCTGGGGGTTGGGGACCATGCGCATCATCAGCACAGCCTCGATCTGCGCCAGGTCCTCGCGACCGCGAGTATGGTATGCTGTCCCAAAGAATCACAAGGGGAAAGGAGGGACCCTTAATGGGGACCCCTGGGACCCTACAATGGCCTATATAATGGGTATATAATGGCTCTATTAAGGGTAAAAACCTAGGGGTCCTTATATTTTACCCTTGGAAAGATAGAACCCAGAAGTACTGGCATCCTGAACACCTTTATAAGTCCTATCCTTACTCGTTGCACAGCTGGCTCAAAGCTCAACTTCACACATAACCTGAGAGGGGAGAAGTTGCTTGTCTTAAGCAGGCAAAACAGGCAGTCAGGACTCAGAGACACCTGCCGGCGGCAGAAGCAGACACTGCTTGCATGTTACGGAGCTTACGAGTCTTGTACCTAGACCCTAAAGCCTAAGCCCTGAACATCTGGCTTGGAGCTTAAAGTTCCGGACTCCCTTAAGCAGCTCCTGCGCCAAGAATATTTCAAAATGCATGCCCGTGATCGATAACACCCCGGCCTTTCTACATGGAGGCTATTCAAGTCCATGTACGTATATATGTAACTATGTATGCACGCACACGTGCACGTTCATGTGTGCAGGCATGTGCACATACATATTTGCATGTATACCCCATGCTTGGACATACTATATGCAGTTCAGCCCTACAGGCAAACCTCACGACTCCGGCGTCCGTTGTTTGTTGTATATATGTAGTTCACGAGTCTGGCCACGGGGCAGGCAAGACTTGGTACCGGCCTGCACTTCGTCCACATAGAGGTGATGAATGCGTGGACCTTTGTAACCGTGCCTGAGCTTCTGCAATCGGGGCTGTTTAGGGTTCTGATCATCTCTAGGGAAGCCCTTATCCCTAAACCCTAAACCCTAAGCTCCGCACGGCCAAGCTTCAAGCTGCAAAACTCCCTCCCCTGGCTTTGCCTCCCTGTGCATCCGAAGCACAGCTGAAGGCGCCTGAGGACGTCAAAAGCCACATCCATGCGATCGAAGCCGTTGATCGCCTTCTTCGTCCTCTCGTACTCGAGGAACCTAGGTTCCCAAGTAGCGCCTTAATGGTTACGGTCGCTTTTGATAGATATATATATATATATAAGGGAACCCAAAATCCGAAAGGGCAAAAGGGTAGCATTGGGGAACCTAGGAACAGATTGTAAAGATGATCTCGGCAGCCCCGGACAGCCCAGTTCATCTTCATTCCGACGAGCTCCAGGTAGTCTTCCTGACTCAGAAAGCCTTCGCTCGAGTCCGCCACCTTCCGATGCCCCTTGATGAAGGTCTGAATTTCGCGCCACACCACTGCAGGGGCGAGTTGATCGGTCCCTTTCATCTCGCGCCAGAGGTGGACCTTGAAGAAGTGGAAGTCCACCTCCTGCCGGCATCCGAACTTCGACGGGGTCTTTCCACGCCTGGCGGAGAGTGTTGTGCACGGGGCAGCAGGTGGACCAAGGCAGCTATCCGGACAATCATGGGACAGAGGAATGGAAAGATGTGGATTCATCTATAGCGGCCGTCGGCTTGGCAACAATTGTTGACTACAGGGGCCTTAATAATTAGAATAGGGCTTGGGGTATCTTATACTCTAATTATCTTAAGGAAGTCCAAAATAGTATTGGTAATTGTTTAGGCCCCTATATTATTCGCCTACATTCTCGGGTGCAACGGGACCCTGGTCCGACATGCTTCGGGCCTCAGATGAGGCTTTGCTTGATACTTCACATTGAACGCAAGCTGTGAGCAATTCTTGCATCGTGGCTGCTATTGAGATTGCTGCTGCTGCTTCAGTCCGAATCCGAACATAAATGCCAGAGCTTTGCGGGAACAGCCTGCCCGTGGCCACATTCACCCTTCCAGCATCTCCAGCAAACGCAACTGTCTTGCCGTCGATCTTGCCAGAAGCCAGTCGTGTGAAGAACGTGTCGCCTGGGCAGCTCATCGAGCTTCACGAACTCAAGAACCCGGAGCCTAAACCTTAAACCCTAAACCCTAAATCCTAAACCCTAAACCCTAAACCCTAAACCCGGATCCTAAAGCCAACGTAATTTCCTAAACTCTCATGCCACGACCCTGAGTCAGTCCTAGACCGTAGAGCCTTAATTCCGCAACGACAAGTGACAATGCAAAAACCCTAAGGACCAACAAGGAGGCTCTGATTCCTAGGCTGCAGACTGTCTCGCTCTCAAGACTCGAAAATTTGTCCATTTTCTCGGATGGAGGTGTGTTGTCTACGGGCCTCGGCAAGCCTTCTAGAACTGCAGGGCTTTAGGGCTGGGAGTTTGGCTGCCATGGCTCTCCTACCGAGTAGGCTTCGAATCTATATAGCAACCCTACACCCTAAATACTAAAACCCTAAACCCCGAATCCCTAAACCCTTAAACCCTAAACCTCCCACTGCTTGTGCCGACCTCCGACGGCTGAGTCAAGAAGTCGAATGAGCTTCTTGAACGTCAAGAACAGCCTAGGGGTTTAGGCTTTAGGGTTTAGGAGTTAGAACTCAGTTGAGAGCTCCAAGATTGAGATTCAAACAATAGGACTGGGCGCAATGGCTGACGGACAGGACCCTGCGTCACCTCAACTACCCTGAAACTCGGAACTGTTGTATGCGCCCGCGAAACCCTAAACCGATTCTGCTTAACGCAGCATGTTTTACCCATAAAGCAATGCCGTTTAGACTTGTGCCATGGGAATTCAGGATCAACTCTGGGGCCAAGGGTGCAGGGTCACGGTTTCGAAGCACGGTTTGCGGTTATATAGGGTTGCGAAGCTCAGAACTGCCCAGAACCCGGCTTCAGCCTTCACAGACTGAACACTTAGACCCGCCCGGCCCAGCACTCATCCGACACCCTCAACCCACACGTGCACCAGGACAGGGTTTGGCATGTAACGGACCCTCAAACCCTGAACCCTAAAGTTCAAATGCCTGAACTAAAAACTGTAAGTTTCATTATGCCAAGGGGTTAGGATAAATGAGTGGGGCTTTGGGGCTTTGGGCGTTTGCGGGCTTAGGGTTCAAGGGCATTAGCTACACCCTGAAGGCAGGACTGGTTAACACAGCTATGCAAGGAGCGAAGACCGTAAACCTAAAACCCCAATCTAGGAAGCTGATTAAGAAACCTTTGGTCTGTATTAAGGCTATTGATATGAACCCTACTATTTTGGGGTTGTAGCACCAGGGTTTCCTTCATGAGGCCCCTACATTAAACCCTAAACCCCTAAAGCCTAAACCCTAAACCCTAAAACCCTACCTACATCCCTAAAGCCTACTTAAAGGATCATGGGACTTAGTAACTAAGGTTGTTATTATAGGGTAACTATACTTATGATTACTTCTAACCCCAATTAAGGTACTTAAAACCATACTTACTAAGTCCCATGATCTTCCAAGTAAACGTGGGAGGAGCGGGAAGGACTCTCCGATGCGCGAGAAGTCGTCGGGCAGGTCTTGTTCCGCCGCGATCGTGGGCGAAGGGTTCCTTTAAGGGATCCTTTAAGGGCTCCTTTAAGGGCTCCTTTAAGGGCTCCTTTAAGGGATCTATAGGTTTTAGGGTTCAGGGGGATCCTAATATCCCTTCCTTAAGGAACATTCTATAAATCATGCGAGGGATCGAAGGGCCTCCCAGGGTCCTTGACATCTAGCTTGTCATATAGGGGCCTGAATAATTAGATGAAGGGTTTAAGCTTTTGGGGTTTAGGGTTCCTTTGAAGGGGTCTACAAGGGTTACTATAAGGGTACTGTAATATAAGGGCCTTAGTAAATAAGAAAAGGGCTTTGGGGCCCAGTATATGATAATCATAATAAGGAACCCCAAATAGTATAGCCAATTTTTCGGCCCCTATATTGCCAATGTAGAGTTTGCAAAAATAGGGGACCCTCATATGGTTCCCTAAATAGTAGGATCCTTGTTATAAGGTCCCCAACATAAGGTACCCCTAATTGTCGGAATTGTAGTATCACTATGATGGGAACCATAGGGGGGTACTTTCAGGGGTTTAGGGTCAGTCAAGATTTCAGGCTGAGATGGCCAGAATGGCACAAAGAGATCTTGACCCATATGAACAGCCCGGCAGAGGGCAAACAACCTTAATATAGGGGCCTGGTATAATTAGAATAGGGTCTTGGGGCCCACTATACCACAATTGTACCAAGGAAACCCCGATATAGTATAGGTAGTTACTCAGGCCCCTATAGTATGCTTTGAGCTGAAACCTTCAGCTGGAATGGAGTCTGCAAATCCAGCTCCCTACTGGAGTCGCCTGAACGGGGAGGCCACACTCCAAGAAACTCTCAACATCTTGCGAGAAGGTCAGTGGAGAGGGGCCTGGGGCCTGTAAATCCCCTGCTTAGGGGTTAGGGGTTTAGGGTCCTAAACCCCAAAGCCTAAAACCCACAAGATTGGCAGGCCATGTCGGCGCATTACAGGTTCTGGCGTTGCAGCGGTTCGGGTTGAGGGCTCAGCCGTAAGTAGGAAGCTACAGAGAACCCAATTGTAAGCTTGATATGTGAAACAACAGGCCATCGATCATTATTCCTGAGTCCGGGCACGCCGAGAGAGTGGAACGAGTCTAACCGCAATAGCTTGACGGGTTCAGGGCTTCAGTTCGCCCAATATTTCCAACGAGATGCTTCCATCCAGCCGATAGATTGCTTGCCTCTACGTGGCAGGCAAACTGCTCCTGTTGGCGGAGGACAGCGGTGCAGGAGAGGCATCCACTTATCTGAACCCTCATTAGAACCGGCTTTCACTTAGTATCTCAACATGATACATATATATATATATGTATATATGTATATATATATATATATATATATATATATATGTAAATGTATAGATACATATATACCTTTCTATATAAATATATATATATATATATGTACATACGAATAAATATATATATATATATATATATATATATCACCCTAAACCGCTATACACTGATACGGACTTAAAGGACCCTACATCGTTAAGGTTGGAACGGCTTTGGATGAGCCAAGGGAACTTGAACTGACAGGGAACACTGATCCTCAAAATCCCTGCGAGTCTTCAATAGCTAGCTTCAGCTCACGAAGACCCGATCAAGCCACCACCGGGGAAGCCTACAGCTACCCTCATGACGAACCCCTATGTAAACCCTAATTACGTGCGTAATTACCTCCTAAACCCTCAAAGACTCTGCTTCCACTGTTGGAGGCCTCAAAAAGTGGGAGGAAGGCAGGTAGGATTAAGGATCCCCTATATAAGGACTCTTATTTGGGAATTACCCCACCTACCTTCATCCTACCTGTTGAGGCCCCTTGGAGTCTCTGGACAAATCCCAAACGGTGGTCCTGCACTTGCTTGGCGAGCGTGGGACTGAGCGTCACGAAGACTTGATTCAGATGGGAGCTGCCTGCACACTGCACAGCAAAACTCCAAACAGTCACCCCGCAACCCTAAACCCTAAACTTTGGCCCTAAACCCTAAACCCCCATCCATAAACCCTAAGCTTTGGCCCGAAACCGGAGGCGCCCATCCGATGCAAATGCTGGGGTATCGGGCTCATTGCTTCATATCCACCCCTCGCAACCTCTCCAAGGTACGAACGGGGTACAAACTTCAACCCTCGACTTAAAGCCAAGAGCCTAAACAACTTTGTGGCATGCCTTCGTTGCAAGTGGGAGCGAAAGGAAACTTCAAAGCCCGGTGGCTCCGCTTGAACTCCCTTCGGCAGCACGTTCTTTAGTTTGAGGGCCTTCCCCATTGCAGTCCAATGATCCATCGTGTTGCTCGGCCTGGCTCCAATACCTCAATCTTACAAAAGGAGGGCAGCTGCAGGTTGCAATTCAGGAACAATCTCTACGGTTGTTGTCATCCTGCTGCGGCCAATGTGGAAAGGGTTGCATAGCCTGATGCCCAACCAAACTCACGGCAACCTTTCAACCTATTTAAGCCCCTCAAGAACTCATCACAGCTGAGAACAAAAACTTGTCAGGGCAAGCAGCGCAACATGGCGTTGCCACATGCGCTCCAAACAGCAAAGGGTTTTCCCGCTGCCACTTCGACCAACGAGGAGAACTGGTCCCTGGAGCACTGGAGTCTTCGTTTTACTATATGAGCCTCAATAATGATTCGGTCTTGGGCGTAATTACGTTCGAGTATAATGTTAATAAGGAGCCCCAAGGAATAGCATTGATAACTATTCAAGCTTCTATATTAGGCTTGACATCGGGAACCTAACGCACTTAGTGTGTTTGTATCAGTGGGAGGTGGTTAGGGTTCAGGGTTTAAGCGTTTAGGGTTCAGGGCGTGGTCCTTGTACTATTGAGGTTTAGGGTCAAGGGCCGAGTAGGTTTGAGGGTTTAGGGCAATACTACTTTGGCGCTCCAGATTATAGTTATAGTATAGTGGGCGCCAAAGCCCCTATTCTACTTACTAAGGCCCCTATACTAGTGCTGCTTTTGGTAGGCCCTAAACCTAAACCCTAAACCCTAAACCCTAAAACCCTAAAACCCTAAAACCCTAAAACCCTAAAACCCTAAAACCCTAAAACCCTAAAACCCTAAAACCCTAAACCCTAAAACCCTGAACCCTGCTTTTGGTGTTTTGCGAGGCTTCGAAGTTGTCAGCGTAACTAGTTCGAGGTCTCGGTCTGAAGCTACACGGGAGCTTCGAAAAATAGGGGACCCTTTAAAGGGCTCCTTTTAAGGGATCTACAAGGGTTCTATAAAGGGTTTAGGGTTTAGTTTACCCTGATATAGTGCCCTAAATAGTAGGGTTTTTATGATAAGGACTCCAAAACAAGGCACCCCTAATTTTCGGAAACTCCCACACATCACTACCCATCTTAATACAGCCACCATGAAGACGGAACCGAAGTAGCCCTGCTGAGCTGATGCCTCGCTCAACACTCCCACAGTGACATGGTTCAGCGCTTTTCAAGGGGGGGCCTCAGGGGCTT